TGTATCTAGAAATTTGCTATTATTGGTCAATTTTACAAACTTAGAATTCATGTACATTAAAAACCAGACCAGTACATATATATTATCAACGTACGAGGAAAAGTGTGAACTGATGAGTTTGAACCAGGGGAACAAGGATGTGCAGGAGGAGATCAGTTGAGTCTGTCAAAAATGCCTTTCACAAACTACGAGCTAAGTCATCGATTAAGGTTCCTGAAATCTTAGTTACCATGTTCATTAGTGTAGAATCAGAGGCAAGAAAATAAACTATGTTCACCGTTTTAGATGTTATCTGGTGGATTGATGGTGATTGATATGGTTCTTCTTCCAAACAAAATAAAAAGTTAAAATTTGTTTTCGAGTTCGAATCTATGCTTAATAACTAAAAAGGACGATCTACGTTTAAAAATATACTAGATTTTGATCCACGCTGTGGGATTAAATAATTAATATGTTTTTAATAGAATTTAATATTTAGACGTGTATTCTAACATTTGTAAACGTACAAAAATAATATGTATTTTGCATAAATGTCATATAGTTATATTTTGATCAAACATAAATATATTTTATCTTTGTTAGTTTTAGTATCTTTCATCTATTAGAAATAATCATAAATTTTTGTTTTTAAATATTATAATCCCGCATTTGATTCGGATAAAAAAATCTAGTAGTTATTTAAAATAAAATAAGATATTTTCAAATATTTTCTATATTTTTAAATAAATTTTATCTCTATATTAATTACCACATATTTCTTATTTCAATATATTTGTCATTAATAATTGTTTTAGGAAATAAAGTCCTTAAATTATTTTTTAGATGATACATAGGATTTTTCACCTAGTGTCTTTTCTATTAATATATAGAGGATTATCGATAGTTGGTCTTAAACATGGTGAGTTACGAGCTTAGGTCCTAATTTTTTTTTTTCCTAGAAATATTTTTCTTTATTCATCTTTCCCAAATGGGCATCATTTCTGAATTACAACAAGATGAAAGCTTAAAGAGAATCACAATACATTATAATAGTTTAGAGAACCACATGTGAATCAACTATTTGATCGAGAGTATCAAAGGAAGGAAAGAGGAACCATTTAGAATTGGATGTATCTGAACCAGGTTAAAAGAAATCTCTTAGGTCATAAATTTCTTTAGTTATAAAAAAAAATGAATCATTATTACTATAAATTAGAGCGTATAGTGTTTATATCTACCCAATGTAATTAATGTCTTTGTACGATAGTATGAAAGTGAGAGAGTAATGTTAAATTGATTGAGAAAGTATTTTGACTAATAAGTGGTCAGTGAGTTCTGATGAGCTACTATACTTAAATCATGTTCAGGGACCATTCGCATCTATTTTATATCTCTGTACACATGTTACGATCATTTTGTTTGAGAATACAAGTCATCATAAGAATTCTAGTATTTTAATATAGTAGTAGTTCTGATTTATAATATCTTACGAATAGTGTCTAGAATATGAACTCCAAAACTATGTATTTAGTCATTTTATATATAAAAAAAAATGAGTAACTAACAACATTATGGCTTCTCTCCAGTTTTGGGTCATGATCATTTTGAAACTAACTCTAAAGATAATTATCAGCTGTTTCAAAACCAAACTGCGAAAATATTTTGTTCGTTGTTTGTAATTCATATATGCATAATAATGCCGTATTTGAATTTAGATTATAACACACATACAAACCATTACAATTTTCTGATAATTTATCTTCTTTAACCAATTTTAGTGATTTTCACAATATTAAACGTGAAATAAAAACAACACAATATTAAAGAGAAATATGCTACCCCAAATCCTACTACATTCAAAGAACTAACGGATTAGATTAGCCTCAATAAATTTTCCGTTACAATGTTAACATCTCCAAGATAATTTTTGTATTCCATATTAACGCATTAGACTTGGTCATTGGTTTTAATCAGAACGACCGATACCACCAAATAAATTATTTAATTTGATATTTTCATAAGTACTCCTTGCTAATCGTTATCAACAAAGCGTAACTACTTTTCTCACTGGCCACAACCTAACGAATTGTTTTAACTAAGCAATTAATAAATTTGTGGCTATGATTTGATGTTAGAAACTACTTAATTGTGGGTACATATTTGGAAAAAAATCTTATATTCAACGATATACATTACAATGTAGATGCTATAAATAAAGTAACTTTATTCGGTATACTATGCTTTTAGTGCACTATCAATTTTTTTTGTACTCATTTATCCTTTAAACTTTATACTTTTGTCGTCTTACGCTTCCGGAGATAGCGAGGCTCTAGTCTCCTCCATTCCAGTGTTTTTGATTAACTAAAATTTGCTTTTTCAAGATCTGGAACTGAGGATCTAGAAAAATGAACACTTACGGTCACAACAAAATAGTGTGAATTATAAGAGCTTACAAGGTTCGAGCACATGCTTCTGTCTACATACCGCATCTTAACATGTGAAAGTTTACGATCTTATATTATCTATATACTTTATATCACTTAAGGTATGGTTCCAATTTCATTTTTGGTTACTATAAGGTATGGACGTATTTAGCACATACGGTCCCAGGCTGATAATGATATATATTCCTCATCATAATTTTTAAAAAGATATATATGAGGAATTGTGTCTTGATAGCAATATATCGTTAAAGGTTTATTCCAAAAAATATTTCATCATATCATCACTAAAAACTAAATATATTATTTGAATAGTCAACATTATTTCAATCGGTGTCTAATTGTATGTAGAGGTTTAGTCCAAAAGAAGATGTCATAGCATCATCACTCGTAAATATATTAAATATACTATTTCAATAGTCAAATTTATTTCAATCGGTTGCTTTATATGTAGAGACGTGTATGCATCAATAATCAAATCTTACAGTGCTAAAATTAGTAAAAACTGTTTCGGTCAAGGCCTAAAATTATTAATTTAAGAGTAAAAAATGGCTTAAGAATACATGAACTCAACTACTTCAACTCTAAGTATACACGAATTAATTATATGCTGAATGAATTAGATTTTATTCCATTTAGTAGACAAATTTGACTATTCATTAGTTAAATCATATGAATTTAAAATACTAACTCTTTCATTTAGTCCACATATTCATATAAACAAAAAATACAACTTAAAAAAATTATATAGTATTCGAAGGTATCAAATCTTTTTCAAACAATTGGTCCACCGAAAACAACAACACAAATATCTAAAACCCGAACATTTTTTTAGAAAATAATCGATTAATCAGTTTAATTTTATTATTTTTGAAAAATTTTAAAAATACTATTTTTCAAGTGCCATTTTACAAAAATACCACACTTTTGAAATCTTTATAAAAATGCCACTTTTTCAAANTTATTTTTTCTTTATATTATTTATGTTTGGGTTAATTATGATATATTAGAGTTTAGTTTTGAGTTTTTATGGGGTTTTAGGTGTCAAAACATTTGTTAAGATTTAGAATTTTAAGATATAGACTTTACAAATCTATAATTAGTAGCATTTTTGTAAATGAACACCCTTAAATATTATTTTTACAAATATGCACACAAAATAACATTTTTATAATTGCCTCTTAAATTTTTTCTCTATAAGCAAACAAATCATGATCGGCTAATAAATTTTCCATTCCCAGACAAAAATTATGACCAGTTTAAATTCTAACCAAAATGGGTTGTTTCTTTTCAGGTTGTTTTTTTATCAGTTCTTTTTATTTTTATTTGTTTCTTTCAGATCAATTACAATATAAAGTCAATAAATATTTGTTTTTCTGGTTTATCGTTGATCCTTTTAGAACTTCACGGTTGTTCGTCATAATTTTTTCTATAATTGGAAGATTCGAAACTAAAATCCAGATTAATAACCAAAACCTACAACAACTAAAAAAATGTTTTTCCAAATCGCTTTCGTTTTCCGCAAGTTTTAGTGTATTATATTAGCCTTTTATTAAAACAAAATATCAAGCCGGACTTTCTTAAAAAAGTAGTTTTTTTTTCCCCTAAAAAGAAGGATATTCCCAAGTAAAAAAAAAAAAAAAGAGAATATAATTGTGGGTAAACACATGTAATTTTCAATAGTTTTTTTTATTTTGGGTCAAAATTTTAAATAGTTTTAAAACATAATTTAAATAGTTAATTTAATTTAAATAGTTTGGAGAATAGATTTTAACAACTCACTGATATTTTTGGAAATCAGCGGTAAGATAATGTTGAGAGAAATTGACTTAATAGTTTTATTCAACAATTTACATACATGAGATTTGATTTAATTGTATCATTAAATAGAAGGAAACAATATATACACACAAGCAAGGAAATCTAAATTTAAGTATATATTCATATATATTAAGGTTAAAAAAAAAAGGTATTCATATATTATGACTTGGTGTGTAAATATAGATTACTGTTTTTTCATAAATTAATTATAAAGTCCGATTCAAAACAGTATATGCTCAGTATAGTCAGTGAGTTATACCAATTTTATATAACAACAAGAAACCAAAAATAAAAAAGAAAAACTCGAAAATTTTAATAACAGTTTCCAGCTACCGAACGTGATTTTTGCCTGTAATCACGTACATCCATAAAGCAATGTATATCAATAGTTAGAATAAGTCAAGGAAAAAAAATTGAGCACTGTGTCACCTTTTCCTCTTTACATTTGCCATCTAAAAATAACTTTTTTACAGATTATAATAATTTACCTATTGTTAGAAAAAGTAAATATGACTACACACACTAGTGCATGTATTACGCTTACGTGCCAAACTCCAAACAAAATATCAAGATATTTATTATTTTACTGATTCATACGATATTTGTTTGTTGCAGTAATTAG